ATGGCATATCTGGCTGCAGTGAAGGGGCCCCTTCCTCTCCCAGTGAGTCCCAAAGCCCCTGATTCCCATAGCTCCTTGGCCTGGGATTGGGGAACCCTATGCCCCTTCCCTGGGCAAGCTGTGCTCCAAAATGGGGTAGGGAGGAGGGGATAAACAAATACCGAATGGCAGCTCCGACGGGGCACTGCTAGCTGTGCCATTAGGGCTAGTGGGGCCCCCAGCACAGCATCCCGTGTGGCCCAGCGGCAGAGACCCCTGGAAGTGCATCTCCTTCGCACTGAGCTCAGGCAGCCACTACGAGTACAACGTTCCCCTGGGCCCAAACGGTTGCCACTCGGAACATTTCCCAAGTTCCCAACCATTTCAACGCTCTCCTTGCACTTTGGTTCTTCTTCCCCTCTGCCCACAGCAGCTCCAGGAGTACAGCAATGGCCTACTGCTGGCCCCAGGGACTGTGAGCCAGCGACGGAGATGACCAGCGAGGTGACAGTCACACGCTTCCCACAACTAGAGAAGGAGCACCAGTGCGGAGCGTGGGCAGCGTGGCAGGCGCTAACGATCCTTTGGCATAACCAATTCTGTGCAGCCAGAACTCCCGGAGTCCTGCTCTTGCCTCCTGGCCAGGTGAACAAGAAAAACAGTGCCCATCCGCCACTTACTGCTGGCAGTGCCCTGCAGGCAAACGCTCCCTGCAAATGGCTCTCGGATGCCCTCTTGCGGATGCAGTGGAAACAGGCTCTACCCGGAGTAAAAGACGACCTCAAAGAACTGGGCTGCACCACACTTCCTCATGCAGAGCCAGTCCCTTTTCTGAAAGTTTTTTCAGGTAAGAAAGAGATGGAAGTGCTGAGAAAATAGTTGGGCAGAAAATGGAGCTTTACACTGCCCAGAACCTCGGCCCGTCTTACCTAAAAGGCCAACTGATCTCACAGCCAAACCTCCTTCTGAGCTTTTAAGGTGACACAGCAACCTATCCAAAAGAAGCAGACCGCCTTGGCTCCCTGCCATCCCCCCCCCCCAGAGCACGCAAGAGCCGAGGCAAAGCCACGGACGCCCACGGGACCAGAAACCGGCTGCTCCGCTACGCTTCTGGCTCCTAAATCCGCCTCCGTCTTGACCGAAGTTTTGGCAACGGAAAAAACAGGTCGTGAACCAGCCCAAGACAGCAGTTCAGCCCTAAATACAAGAGAAGAGTTACCCAGCACAGTTACCCCGAGAAGCATCGCAAATTGTCCACCGATACTGGATGCTTCTCACAATACCGCGTAGGAAACCGTGCTCGTCCACCTAAGTAGCCCAACCCGAATCAACTGGCCGCAAACGCCTCGGGCTTACGTCCGTCGTTATAAACCGCGCCCCAGCCTTTGAGGTTGCCGGGCACGCCGCGGAGCTTTGTACTCCATTTTCACCACGGGGGCGACGCGGATTACTTTTCTCTTGGGCGGGCTTGCCTGGCGCACGCGCCTCGAGCATCCGAAAGCCGGTCCCGGCCCCTCCGAACCGCCGCAACGGACCCACCCCCGGGACAAGCGGCCCCCGCGGGGACGACGCGCCCGCTCTTCGCCCGCGGCCGGGACGGCGCTTCCGCGCTCTCCGCCTTCCGAGCCTCCTGCGGGACGCAAGCGAGGGCGCGCGGCGGCGGCCGGTCCTGCGTCCCGTCCCCGGGCAACACCGTGCAGGGGGGATCTCGCCGGGCGAGGCCGGCGTTTAAGCGGCGGAGAGGCCCGGCTTCGGGGACGGCGCAGGGCGGCCTGCCGTCGCCCCAGCTGCCGAGCTGGCGCGGAGGCGAAGCAGGGCCGGGGCCCGACCCTTGATGGGGGTCTCAGCGGGGGCGGGGCTCGAGCCCGGGCGGGGGCTTCGTTCCCCCCTCGCCTGGGCGGAGGCAGGCCAGGCCAGGCCAGGCGGCGGGG